AGGCCCTGCGAGTTATGAAGTTCAGATGAGAGTACAGACACTCAGAGCATTCATAACTCATGCGCATCAAAAGAAGAAAAATCGCACTAGAAATGGTATGCAACAAAAATTGCAAGTGTACTCCCAAACTCCTATTGAACAACATGCCCAAAATCTTGATATAAAATCTCAATTTATCCCATTCACGGGCCACATGCATGTTTGCATCGTTGTGGTGGGGGAACATGACGTTGATTTCCTTCATAATTTGTGTAATTTGTGTCATTACAAATAAGGAAATTGACTGCATGCTTCAAGATATCGACTTGCAGCTTCAGTGCAAATGAAAATTTGTTGCGCGAGATAATGAAGTTTAGCAAAGACAGCTGCTTGTAATTGTGGTTAACCTGTACCGGCAGACCTGAAACAACTCCTAAAATTACGAACATTATCGGCAATCAAGCTCTTTAACACTACACGAATACACCGATGCACATCTTTCGATCATAATTTCTGCAACCTCAGCTGCTACATCTTTCGATCATAATTTCCGCAACCTCAGCTGCTAGATTGTGCGCGATATCAACGACGATTTTTAGAGTTCAGACATGCTTAATTTGCATATTTGGAAAGCCATGATAAAATGTGCTCGAAAGAATATTTGAAATACTATATCAAAAGTAGGACTAGATTATATTTCATAGCCTTAATCCCTTCAAACCATGGCAGTTCATAATAATAATAATAATAACGAATTTATTGTAGCCTTCCATTTTACATGGCTCTTCATCTACAATGTAACTACTTATTTACTACTTATATACTACTTATAATATATGCTACTTCTTATCATTAGTTAAAACATTAAAATATTGTACATGCACATGCTAGAGTACTGGAACGTAAAAGTTAACCCAAACGTTCTCTTGCTTGATCGAAGAGAAATACTCTTGTTTCAGCACAAAATGTTTCAAAGTTTTTCTCAGCCCTTAGGGTTTGAGGTAGTTTATTGAAACATTTAGCTGCGGAATATTGAAATATGTCCCGATCAATTGGTGTTTCTAAGAGATCTTTCGAGCAAGATCGAAGTCCACTTCTCCCTGGGTTATATAATTTTAGCTTTGCATATTCTGGCCAATGGTCATAGTTCAAAGCTTTGAAAGCAGTTTTTAGCAGATGCCAGTCTCGTCTTTCGAGCAGTGGGAGCCAGCCCAATTTCAAAACAGCGTCTTCTTTTGAAAACTTTCCTGTGACAAAGCATGCGGCGGACCCTAAATGCTGCATGCAACCATTGCAACATGTTGCGTCTGATGCTTGTGATGTCACTCTGAGTGTATATCCACACCGGGCAAGCTTACCAAGCTGAGTACGCCTGGCCACGGTGGGAATCGAACCTACGACCTTTGGAATACCAGCCCAATGCTCTACCAACTGAGATACGCGGTCAGGAACTAAGGAAGGAACTAGATTCGGTTCGAAGGAACCGAAGGAACTAGATTCGGTTCCGAAATATCACATACTCGAACCGACCTGACCGCATAGCTCAGTTGGTACTTGGTAGAGCATTAGGCTGGTATTCCAAAGGTCGTAGCCCTCGTAGGTTCGATTCCCACCGTGGTCAGGCATATTTTTCCAGCTTGCCCGGTGTGGATATACACTCAGAGTAACATCACAAGCATCATATTCACCTGAGTACATTACACTACCAACGTACACAGAAAAAATCATATTGGGTCTGGTTGAACATTAGATAGTCTATGTATGTTGCATGGGGGATAATCTTGAACTGTCAGTGTGCCAGTGTAGGTAGTGGCAATAATATGAACAAGCTTTCGTTGGTAGGGATGAAACTACCTGAAAAATATAAGGAGAATTTCGAAACGTTGAATTTCTACCTCCTTTTATTTCTTAAGCAGTTGCATCCCTTACCAACGAAAGCTTGTTATATATGTTGGTGATGATCACTGAATCATGCATGAGGATTTTCCAGTTTGTACAAAATGTTCATCCACCATTGGACGCATGCTTGGTGAGATTTTTATCGCCAGCCTGAGGCCCACAGTCTATCTCAGGAAGTCGATTACATTTCAATTATACTGAATACGAACTTCCATACTATATATGTAAAGATGAAAGATCTGATCTTTATCTAGGAAAAGATCCTCGAAGATTTCGCTTCAAAAAATCATGTATAATTATTCTAGTCTCAAGTACGCTTCGTCTAATGATTGAGAGAATAATTGAAATCTGGGCACAATCAGAGTACGAACCGTATATTTAGATGCAATAATTGATTACATTGTATATTTAATATAGAATATTCCAAACTCATATCCGGAAAAATGAATGAAACAGCAGATGGAAAAAATAAGTGTGGATTGAGATTAAAAAATAATAATTAAGAGCAGAAGTTAGCAGACATCTTGACGAGAATGCCGAATGTAGAATTAAGTTCCCAAGCTATTTTAGTCGAATAGATAATACTCAGACTGTGAACGATGTTCGATGAAAATATTGAACAATAACCTCATCTAACATCCGCAGCAAATATTGCCCAACAAATCCAACAATGTAGAATTATGCTGCGCAAACATGTTGGGCTTATTTGAACAGGCCCAGAGATTCTTTCCAGTATCCTATATTTAATGTGTCATCAGAAATAGCTTTTGTATTATTTATTTCAATATTTTATTCAATATTATAATGATATATCCAGTTTTTCGCTTGAGCTCAGTATCTTGCGCGCTGTGGCGGGAAATTGTGCACATGCGCGGTCGTAAAACGCGCAAATTCAAAATTCAAGATGGCCGATTGTAACTCCTTTCTGAAATTGTGTTAAATATGTGATTTAAGGCAATTATTTTGTATCTATTGACTTTATTATGTCGTCTTTTGATGTAGCCAGGCTTATTTTTGGTAAGTAATTGTGTATTTGTGTTGTACATTGAAGTTTTGAAATTATTTATTAGCCTATTAACAGTATATTGAGTATAAATATTTTGATTTTTTAATCACAGTTTCTGGACTGCAAAAGTGAAGTGAATAGATTAATAATATCTATAATAGATTATACTGAAGTCCCTCCAACTGAGCAGTTTGTACTTTAAATGACCAAGGCTTGAACATGCACATCCACAAGATAATTCATGAACAAATAATTTTGGGAGGGGGGCCAGGGGGGTGGTTATCATGTGCATTATTGCCCAACCCCAACTTGAAAGGCACCTGTGAAGAGACAGGTGTTTGATGGAAATTATAAAGTCAGTAAAAGCTTATATAAGAGCTTTATATACAAGCATGGATGCCCAAAGTCTATATTTTTGAAAATAGTCTAATGTTTGCTGTAGGTTATCTCTCAGACCAAGGGTTAGAAGAAACCAAAAATTGCTTTTCTAAAGAATCTCCAGATCTGTTGGGGCGTGACCTTGACAATCACATGAATGAAGGACGAAAATTATCGTTGATTATTAAAGAATATTTTAAATTGAAAGGAAATGGTAAGATGTCTGTGGATTTCTTGGTGTAATATTCCTGTGTGACTAGCAGGGTTTTTTTTCAGGATTTCCTCTTGGGTCCGTTTTTGCAGAGAAGATTGAGTTTAGCTGAACAGCTGTGGGTCAGGGGCAGCTGCGGGAGGCTGACACGTGTACCCAATAAGTGTAGTTGAGACGCAATGTGTTAAAGCAGACACAATAAACTGGTTAAAGATGGCGAATGCGTTGTTTTTCTTGTGTTGTGAAATGATCGAATTCCAGCCATTTTTTCTTGATTGTCGGGTTTCCAACTGAAAACTAATTTGCCCACATCACAAATTTAACTCAAACAACTTCATTTTTACTGCACTGAAACTTTGGTGATCAATTGAAGATTGAGTTTTTGGGGCTGTTTTACGGTCCTAAAAAATCCCTGAAAAAAACCCTGACTAGAAGACCTGAATAATGTACAATGATCTTGCAATATTTGTTTTCAGCCGTATAGGAAACATACAGTATATTGCTCCCTTAGGTCCACTAATTAATATTATGAAAATTCAAAAGGATATGGTATGCTTGTCTCGAAAAAGAACCCTCTTGAACTTCCGATAAATTAAGATTTAAGACCAGTTTGTATTGCACATGTGAGGTAAAAAACACTTTTAACTCATTAAGGTCTAATAATCACTCTTTGACAAGAACAATCTAGCTAATTGTTTGTGGTAGAAAGCTTTTTCACCTCTAAACTGTTATTTCTGAAGGTCCTATATGCAGACCTGCCAACCTTAGAGACTGATGTATAGGGAGAATTCTTATTTAATTAGACACTTAATTTGTTAGGAGAATTGGCCGTTTAGAGGGAGAAAACCCATCAAAGCCCTTTTCATTCGAGCAGTCAGATTAGTGGCTCGTTCAAACTCCTAGCTACACTTGCAGCACAAGAATCCCCTTGACTAATGTTAAATTGGGCACTATCAATCTTGGACTGAAAATATGACATGAAGACGTGTTTTAACAAATAAATACTTCAATTTGTACTTTCCGAACGTTATAGAATCCAGAATGAAGTCATTCCATTTACAATTAATGGATGAAATGAAATGCAGCCGCGCATAGATATTTTTCAATAAAATTCAATTAGATCGACAAGAAATCAGGATAATTGCCAGTTGCCAATACCGGGAGGCGGGAGAAATTTTTCACTACCGGGAGATCACATGTGGGTCTATACCGGGAGACATCCGGCTATTGTCGGGAGAGTTGGCAGGTCTGTATGTGTGCCATCCCTTTCTCTTCCAGTGTTACTACAAGAGGAAACCACTGCACCCGAGATAACTTGTAGTGTTGGTGAATGGAGTTAAGTGGTGAACAACAGTTCATGAGAAATATGACATATATATAGTAAAATAACTTAAATTATATAAATAAATGCTTGAGCATGTCAATATCTGGTGGTTTTATTTATGGAACGTTTATCAAAGTGCTAACTACATAATATATGGTATTAGTTTACAATGTTTGAGCTGGGAAGCTATGTTTATTGCCGAATGAAATAAAAAATGAAACTATCCAATATTTACTTGCGTGACTGTGAACTATCAGTCTATCACGAGAAGTGTGCGTATGGCTTCTTAGAGACAATATCTCAATTGATCTGTGTCCGTTTCACTCACTGTCAAGAAAGGACCTTTTAAACAACATCTGAGTACATTGATTATATATATTGGCCTAATTATTCTTTATCACACATTGCATAATGAGTTTATACCATGAATGTCTATGGTTGAATGCCTTGTTTGTCATTGAGGGACCAATACAGAAAAAAAATGTTTTGATTTTGTCTTTGATTCTCTTTCCCATGGTGTATATATCACCGTTTAATACTTAATTGTCCATCCTTGTGTAAAGTTCTTTGGTATTGAAGCAAGTACTTAATATAATTAAAAGGGCACATGGCTTGCTGTTATGTAATGGACTAAGAAGATACATTCAATTGCTACCTACGATAATTTTGTTAAATGGGCTACCCTTAGTAAATTAGTTGCAGTACTGTTAAATGTTTTTCGTTGACGCTTAACCCAAAGGCTCTCTCCTCGATGAGTAAAATAATCTAGCATTAGACAGAATAAAAATAACGAAGTTGGGTGCATTGTGTGCATTGTTATGTAATGGATAATGAGAAGAGATATTGGAAGATATACTGTAGTGCCTTACCAATCTCCCTTCAAGTGTGTAGTTGTCTTACATCAGACAGAATAATTTAAGCCAAGCACATTTTGTCTCACTGCTGTCAAATAGGTAATATAATAGGAGGGCAGATATATAGTGGCAGTTAGGTTAACTATTATTAATGCTTTCTCTTAACGAATAAAATTGTTTCATATTGTTAGCCTCCTCTACATCTGCAACTCTGTGGCAAAATGCTGGTTATGCAGTATAATGGGCCAAATACAATCGTATAAATCCAATGTTTGGCTAGGAGTCACCAGCATTGGTGGCTGTATTTGCATTGAATTATTACCCATCAACACCCTGAACACTTTCCCTTGACCAGTTAAAATTATCTGGTGTTAGACTGGATAAAATGAGTGTTTTTAAGGGTGCAATGGTTAAAGGGTTACATGTTCTTTATTCTGTCTATGATGTACTTAATGCAACAATTGAAATTTGAAATTCTTGTCTGATATTTTGATCATGTCTTGATCTCACCATACATTTGAACTAGGCTTACATAGTTGATCATGTACAATACTTTCAATGCATTACTGCAGTAGTAAGTTTTAAACAACTTTTTTGTAGAGAAGAAAGACATACCAACTGATCCTGAAAATGTGCTTTTGTCACTATGGAAACAATTTGACGTACTTGTGGGGCAACTAAAGTACGTTAACTTTTCATTTGCTTCAGACGAGTAATGGTCTCACTGTTTGAACTAGGGTGTTTGTAATTGTTACTATTAAAAGTCCAAAAAATTTGAACTTCCAAGTGTGAGCCAGGTATTCATTTCCAAGGTGAGCCATCGTGGTACCCTGTCCATTTTGGAAATGAAGCGTTGGTTATTAACCACCTTGCCTGAGTAGTCCAATCAGGGCAGGAAAAAAATTTCTTCCTGGGAGCGCAACCTGGAGACAAAAAATTCCAGCAGACCAACGGAGTATTTTTGTGCTAAATCTGCATGTGCATAAACATATAGTGTTCTAGCTGTCAACCATATGTTGTTGCGCCCACCATAGTGGGACATGGGTGTTAAGGTTTTCAATAGCAAATCTTCATTCAAAGGAATTTCCTGCAGCTGTTTAACATTTCCTGCGAGCAGTACTTGCCTATTTTTCCACCCCTGAGTCCAATGTGAACACAATGAGATTTGTCTTCCACACCCTTTGGGTATTATTGATCTTTTCCATTTGATGTTTTCTTCAGCTCAGGGCCACACACTCAACAGATCTTTTGAATTAAAAATCAATTATTTTTCAATTTAGTTTATTTGTTTACTTGAAGGCATACAACAATCCATAACTCAGAGAAAGACAAAAGTAGAGCAAAAAGAGGATTTAGTGATCAGAAAGGTTCGTTTACAACCAAAATGACTTAAATAAATAAGGCAGTTCATTTAAAATGTTGTTGACTTTGTGATTTTCTAGCACGTGTCAGGCATCTGAACAAACAGAACTGGGTAGCACTTCAACAGAAAAACAAATCATTAGCAGCAAATCGTGACCTACACCCTAAGCCAATCAATGGTGGTGTCAATGACCTAATCCATGGACCTCCTAATCCTCCTCAATGTTCCCCTCAACCTTCTATCAACTCTCAATACGTTCAGATTAGACCATACCCTGCAGCTAATGTGACCCCTGGTCATGATGTCTCTACTGTAAATAAAACACCACTGTGGAAAACACCAACAAAAAGTGTGGTACCACATAGTAGTGTTGGTGTATTACAGAGTAATATTATCTCTGAAAGTCTACAAGAGGTCAACTCAAGTCAATATCTTCAGTCTGAACAGTTGTTGCCTTCTGACAACTTCAAGTCGCCAAAACGTAAAAGGTAATGTATAATTTGCATAATTCAGTATTTGAAAAATGAACCTTTGAGCATTCTGATTGGCTCCCTCAGCAGTAACTCTGAGGCAATACTGTTCTACGACTCCTTCAAATGATGAAATCTCGAATCCTGCACTTTCCCCCTGTATCCCGTTGTCGAAATAAACCTTATCCCGTGTAACCAGGTCTTAGCTAGAGGGCCGTGTTATCGCGGCCAAAAATGGAAAAACACGGCTAGATAAAATTAACGCGACTTCATTTTTTATATAAGGCAGTGTAGGTTCATAAAATAAGATGGTGCTACTTACAACAGACAGAATTTCTTTCTGTTTACGTCATAAAAAAGTTTGTAAAATCTATTGTTGTTGTTGAAATTGGCAAAAGTGATCCGTGATGTTTTAATGTTTTGATGGATAATGGGAACCGAAAGGTGTTAAAGTGGTTTTAAATACCCCCAAGAGTTGCTGAAATAACTTAACATTTTAATGTCAGTGCGCAATATGAGTATATGCTCGCCTTGTATTTGGTTGCAAAGCATAGAACAACCACAGGCATTGTCCGTTGTTGTAGTACACAGTGAATTTGGCTATTCAAGCTAATTGACATCTGCACACCCTGGTCATTTAGAAACACGCCCAAGATCTAAAAGCTAAGACCCTGCGTGTAACTCAACACCCGTTGTGGTCTCTCATTTGTTTTAGTGTTCCACCAAAGAAAAGAACTGGCGAAACTGTACCTGCAATGCCTGCAGCTCAAATATCTACGAAAACAGCTACGGTGACGTCAGCACAAACCTCTGTTCAGGAGGATAGCCAACTTGACATACAGGTAGATATTGGTCAGTTTCAGTAACTGTTACAGGACAATACCCACTTATATGGTTGATAACTGATTATCAGAGATAACACGTTCACAATTTTAATCTAATTTTTTCTGCAGAATATTGTTGACAAGATTCTTGGTCGACCTGAACTTTCTGAAAAACTGGCAGAAAATATAAATCGTGCCGTGGAGTGAGTACAATTTTGATTCTTACTTCGCAGTTTAGGTTTCTCCAATTAGAATGGTCTCCATTTAGAATTAATTGATTGCCAATTTACTATATTCTAATTTCCCATCAGAATGGATGCTCTTACTAGTCAGCAGCCTGATTTTAACAAAGTGATGGAAAACAACATCCAGACGGTAAATTTATCTACTATCAGTCTTAAAGATGTTTGAGGCGAAACCAGCATTATTCATTTTGAGTTTTTTAGACGTTCTCAGGTTTAAAATATAGATTTATTTCACAACATTATTGCAACCAATATGATAGCCTCGTCTGAAGGGCTTTTGTAACAACTAAGGACTAGCTTGACCCAGCTAAGAGCTTCCTCATGTAAGTTAGAATCCCCATTATCCCCCGCGGTCCTGGCGTACCCGAGAAGGCTTGAGATTATTTCGCTGGCCTCAGAATGACAAAACGTAACAAAGCAACGGTTTTACTAACACTAATCCTATTTCAAATACTAACCCTAATCCTAACCAAACCCTACTCCAAGTTTGTTTCTAAACCAATCTTGAAGAAAAACGTTTTGACGAAATGTCATTCTGAGGTTAGAGAACTAACATTTCCCGCTTGGCTATCGCTTCGACCAACTCGCGTTTTACGCACGTACATAACTTAAACGTGTTAGGTAAATGCAACATTCAAGGAATACCGAATGGTTTTACTTGTTGCAGGATTGCGTGATCCATGCACGCGGGATGTTTCAAGAAAATTAGCCTACTTGGATTCCGGAATCCAAGGAGTGGAATCCGGAATCCAAGGAATGCATGGATTACCTTAAGCTGGAGTTACACGAGCAACAAAATTGCTGCAACTTGCAACAAAATCTGATTTCAACGCATGTTAAGTAGAAATGTCGACACATGTTGCCTTGTGATTTGTAATTTATGTGTAAATATTTTCAATTAACATGCGTTGAAATCAGATTTTGTTGCAAGTTGCAGCAATTTTGTTGCTCGTGTAGTTCCACCTTACATGGGGCGACACGTGGACTTGCCGGCAACCGGACAATGTTCATATGAGGCGGAGTCGAAAGAATTATTTCTGTGTTCATACATGACTATTTTTATCCCACGAAATTCTCGGTAAACAAGTTGAACAGCCCTAAGAAATAATTGGCTTAAACTCAAATTATTATAAACGGAAGTTTATAAAACAATTTCATCCGTAAAATTAATTGTGTTGTCTCGATCTACAACACACTAGATTACTCCCGTTAAACAACATTTTCTGACTTTCTGTTCTATTTTTTTTTAAATAATCAATATATCCGTTTCCTTAGTTAATTTTGTAATAGGATATAGTAGAGCTCTAGGGATATCAATTAGTCCCTAAAACTACAGTACCAACCGACAGTTAAAAAAAAGATAAGATACAAAACAAAATCTGAAAAACAACATGTTGAGAAATATAAAATATGGATTAAAACAAAAGTAAACTAGATGTTACTCAAAGACTGTATGCCAGCGAATGGACCTATTCCCTAATGAACAAAATTTTGATCTAGACAAGTCTAGACAAACATTTCACCACAGCTTCAAAGAGCATCACAAAATTAGTAATATTCCGAAGTTTCGTTGCGAAATGTTGTAAAATGCGGATAATATAACATTTTGTATTATGCACGGGAAATTGATACCGCTTTCTGAAAAAAGGTATCAATTTCCCGCGCGTAATACAAAATGACTGAAAAACGGCAATCGTCGAAGGGCTATATTATCCGCATTTTACAACATTTCGCAACGAAACTTCGGAATATTACTAATTTTGTGATGCTCTTTCAACTGCTGTGATGAAATTTCTGTCTAGACTTATCTAGATCAAAATGTTGTTAATTAGGGAATAGGTCCATTAAGTTCTGTATCTTTTTCTGTCTAAAGTGTAATTATGTTCGTAGTCTTACCAATCCAATCTCGTGTTGCGTGTAGATATTGTGTTTTCGTTTGTTGCATGTTTCGGAGTTAGTTCGTTGTCAAGCAGTATTCTTTGTTTAAAGTGCCTATGACACGAAATTTTACCCCAAAGCTTTATAATTGCATTGTAAAGATCACTTAAAATGACTTAATAATTTCTTTTATAGAATTTTGCTAACTTGCTCCCTTTTCAAGATGAACTTTGTTTCATATGCAAATATCACCGGTGTGACATCACATCGCATAATGAGTTTTCAGAAAAGTGTAGTTTTCTTGACGAATACGTATCTGAAAGACTTAAAAATTGCCATTGTATATGTGTTAATTTCATAACTGGCAATTAACCCTCTGGCTCTGTATTTGTTTGTAAAAATATTTTATCAAGGTAAAATATTGCGTTTTCAAAATGTCATTATGCGTTGTGATGTCACACCGGTGATATTTGCATATCAAACAAAGTTGAATATCTTGCAAAGGGAGCAAGTTAGCAAAATTCTATAAAATAAATTATTAAGTCATTTTAAGTGATCTTTACAATGCAATTATAAACATTTGGGGTGAAATTTCGTGTCATAGGCACTTTAATCGTTTCTCACGTTATTATATGTGTTTAAAATACTCATTAATAATTCATGAACAAAATTCAGAAGAAATGAATGTTTAATCAATGTTTGTAAATCGGGTAAAGATTTGTCCTCATTTACATGAACTTCAGCTATGATTTTCTCGGCTTAGACAATGTTTATTTTTAAAATTACTTCGCCAATGAACTCATAAGATGGGTCGTATTAAAGGACCTTTGGTCGTTTATAAGCACGATAAAACATTCGCATCCGATCTTTATCTGATATACAAATAATATCTTACAACTTGCCTCTGAGGACAAGAAAACAACCCGTTCCTATATTATCATTATGTTTGTTGTTGTTATTGCGGATTCCCTGCCATGTGCTAATAGTTTTTAGTATAATTACATAGGTGATTATTGAAAATTCTCCACGCTGATTGGTTGCCGTTGAGGTGATTATTACGCGATAATCACCTAAGCGATTTTCGAAATGGCGGCGAAGCCGCGGTTTTGTCAATTGATGATTCCCCTTATTAAGTTTTCGTAGCGCTTTGCATTGTGGTTATAGTGGTATCACTGATATTCAAGATGGCTTATTTTTTGTCCTGACGCGTGCAAGAACTTTAAAAAAAAGCTAGGATCAGGTGCGCGATACCAACAGCAAAATATTCGCGAAAACATTCAATATTTTCATTCGAGGCCGCTATCTTTATCAGTGATACTACTATAACCACAATGCAAAACGCTACGAAAACGTAATAAGGGGAATCATGACGAAAAATGTGTATTTTTTTTCTTAAAAAACCTCGACTTCGTCTCGGTTTTTATTCACCGATAATCACCTCGCCTTCGGCGAATAATTGTTAAATATTTGTACAAAGGCTGAGCTATTAAATTAAATCATGCATAAATTATACAATGGGCAAATTATACGTATTCAATTTACTCTGCCCCGGCAAAACTGACAAGACAAACTTTTCTTATATTTTCTTACCCAATTTTTATCCAAATTTGTTCTTCAGTTATGTCCATTAGTTACAAAAAATTTTAATGATTTATAATTTAATAATAATAATATACACTTAATGTCTGCTCCCGAGGGAAATAGTTTGTTTTGTTTTCCCGAGAGTCGCAATGTTTCCCGAGACGAAGTCGAGGGAAACATTGAGATTCGAGGGAAAACAAAACTAATTATTTCCCGAGGGAACAGACATTAAGCGTTTTGTTATATAGCGACGAACAAAAATCAACATTCATACAACAATTGTATTTCGTGACAAAAACTCTATAGTGTAAACGAGTTTAAAATTAAAACAACCTACTTAAACGGTTTCAGGAGCATATCCTGTTGCCTGTTGTGTATTTTTCTTCTCTTTTCTATTCTTTATTTGAACACAAACTTGGAAAATCGTAGTTTCTAATAGCCTTTCCGGTAATTACGTCACGACTAACACTGTTTTCAACTTCAGGGCGCGAAATAACGGTCGGTCAACGGACAATGTCCGGCTAGAATGCGGAGTTGTCCGGTCAAATTCTTACCTTGCAGGTCATTTTGACCGGTCACTTTCGGTAAAAGAACAAACTAATCTTCATTTTATAATAATAATCAAAATAAAGTAGTCAAGTACAGTATGATAATTAAGAACCATAACATGCATGTTGTCGAATATTTTGCAGGAAAACAACTCAATGTACACCAGTTTTCGCACGCAGTACGTCACAAAGCCCATGGGCCATGGCTTTGGCTTAAGAGCTAAGACCATGCTTTTAGCCCAGTACAAGCTGTTTTGTGTGAAGGAATTTTTAATTACTGATTACAGTAAGGCTTTTTGTACTGGGAAAATGGTCATATTTTTAGGGGTATACTTTACTAGGCTTTGCTTTAAGCTGAATAATTTGACCGGCCAGAAATTCGGTATGTCCAAGCTAAAATTGAGTTGGCCGGTCACCTTGACCGCCGACCCTCCAGCCGTTATTTCGCGCCCTGAACTTAGGACCACCTTAAAAAGTATGGTTAGACCATATAGTACATGTCACACGTCTCGAATGCGATGCGAGATTCGTAGTATACTAGTTGCTTTGTCACTATCAAAATTTCTGTAATCCCAGTAGGAATTTTGCATAGCCGTCGGTAAATTCTAAGTTTTGAAGGATTTGTGAGAAATGTTTGAGGGAACTAACTTATTAGGGCCATTTATGCGGAACAAAATAAGACGCGACTTACATAAGACGCGACTTAGGTAAGACGCGAGTTTGTCGTATAAAAGGTACAAAATTCTTATGTAAGACGCGTCTTGGATAAGACGCGTCTTACATAAGAACAGGTCTTTTAGCTGTTCTTATTTAAGTCGCGTCTTAACTAAGAAATTTTGGACAAAAAGTCTAACTACACATGCCAGAAACCTGAAACAACGTAAAATTTAATGCCTTGCATATTAAAACAAAAACAACCAAAACAACATTATAGCTATAGCAAATAAATAAGACCAAAGCCGTAGAGAACCATTTATGCGATAACTCCACTTATTTAAGTCGCGTCTTATGTAAGTCGCGACTTATTTTGTCACGTATAAATGGCCCTAATGTTCAACACTGAGTCATTTCCCTCAAGCATTTCTTACAAATCCTTCAAAACTTAGAATTTACAGATGCAATATTCCAACTGTGATCACAGAAACTTTGATAGTGTAAACCATGCAGTTACATTAGCGAATGGGCTATGGTCTGAGAAGCAGAACATCCTTCGTCAACACATGCATAAAAAAGAATTTTGGATTCTGACTATTAAATGTGGAAATAAGCTTAAACACGAAAACGAGGCTGAGGGGCCATGTGGCCCCTCTTGGCCCCTCAGCCTCGTTTTCGTATTTTAGCTTATTTCCACTTTTAGGCCAATGAAAATTGATATCATGTTTCTCGTCCACAATTTTCAATAATTTGGAGCGGGATTTTTTCATTTTTCATTATTTTTTGTATTTGAATTCTGCTTGACAATAATTTCCTTGACCCAGTAAAAACCCCCATAAAAACTGAAGTAAATCGGTGTAAAATTCATTTTAATTTAATACGTCCTACACTACAGTATATTTCTACACATACCAGGGCTGACATGAAAAATAGAGGCATTCTGGCGAGTAATATCTTTAGAAAGATACAATTTGAGTTGCGCTTGCGGAACGCAGCAATAAGACTTTGATCTGGAGATCAATTTGGTGTTTTGTTAAGCCTATTTTTCAAAAATAATGAATAATGAAAAATTTTCGTGCGGCAGATAAATCCCATGCGGGCGGGGACGAGAAACATGATATCAATTTTCATTGGCCTTATTGGTCAAAATCCAAAATTCTTTTTTATGCATGTGTTGAAGAAGGATGTTCTGCTTCTCTGACTATAGCCCATGAGAAACAAACTTGAAAACTATTCCATTTCAGGTGGTCCTAAGTTGAAAACAGTGTAGTTGTGACGTAATTACCGGAAAGGTCTATTATGCTAGTTGTGCCGCCATTTTGTTTATTTATGTACGTAGCCGGTGACGGCGGACAACAATTTTTCACTTGTTGCCCGACGGGATACATTACATTTATCTGAAGTCACTTGACCTTGTATTAGCCAATCACTTTTGGTGTTCACCCTAGCTAAATAACAATGATTTATTATTTATATTGCGCAAATATCTATATATGATCAAAGGCGCACAAAATTTTGTATTAATAAAAAAATTCTTAATAATTATTCTTTCAAATCAAAATATAAGACATATTTAATTTTAAAATATGTACAATAATACTGATTAACTTAGATTTGTTTTGACTCAAAAATTATCTTCGGTATGTACTTGTAAGTTTGTAATAATATGTTGTTCTGAATTAAAGCTTCAAACTAATGTGTGTGTTAGAAATGTAATTATAATATAACATTTGTAAATTCTGAACGCTGATTGGCTAAGAGCCGTGTTGATATAACTCAATGTCAACACGGAAAATGTTTTCTTTATATTTTTTGTGCTATATTATAAAAAAAATATAAAACATTGTGTTTTCACACAATTTCGAGTTTTCCCAATTTCCACTTTTGTTCATGATATAAAAAATGTTTTATATTTGTTAAATGTCACCAGTCTATCCTGGCCGTAAATGGTTATTACTGGTGACATGTACTTCTCAGATTGTAAATTTCTTCCTTTTTTATGTAATGTCTCCCCGCTCCCCTATAATGTTGGTTTTGACATGCAAATTTCAAAACGTTTTTACCTAATGTATGTAGCTATTTGGCCAGGCCAGGTACACACGTAAAAACACACAGTTGTTACAAGTCTGCAGACAAGTTGTTACAAATCTGTTCAGTTGTTTTTACCAGTTTGGAACAAGCTGTTAACAACTTGTAGCAAGTTTGATGGCATTATCAGACTTGTTACAAAGTTGTTCTAACAAGTGTGATACAGTCATGATGAACAAGAATGTTACAAGGTTGACGACACAAGGTTGTAACAATACTGTTATATCGTGACTGTATCGGACTTGTTGGAACAACCTTGTAACGAGCCTGATAATATCAACAAGATTGTTACAAATTGTTAACAGCTTGTTCCAAACTTGTTGACAACTTGGGACAAGCAGTGCGAACACAACTTGTTGACGGCTTGTTGGCAGACTTGCTACAAGATCGGAGATTTTTACGCGTGTATTTCTATTTCCACGCGCGCTGTCCACAATATTTTTTGTCAGGATTGTAGATAGATCTGATGTTGATATTGTAAAGAATAACTCTTGTTTTAATCCATATTTTATATTTCTTAACAATTGTTTTTCGGACTTTGTTTTGTATTATACTAACAATGGACCATTTAAAATGACTGAAAAACGGCAAACTTCGCATGGCTATATTATCCGCATTTTACAACATTCCGCAACGAAACTTTGAATATTACTAATTTTGTGATGCTCTTTCAAGCTGTGATCAAAATTTAGTCTATAATGCAAATGGTCCATTAGTTCCTAGTGTTCTAATAATTTATTTTTTTTTTAACATTGTGCAATTTCCTCCAGCAAAATGCGGTAGTAGACCGTAATAGAGTGGACGATATCATGGAAATGATGAAATCTGATCCTGTCTTTGAGGAATTGTTTTCAAGTTTCGGTAAGCTTCAATCGATAATAATGATACACTATGTGTATAATTAACACGAGGGAAACAGGATGTTTTGCCGGTGGACGGTCCGATACTGCCTTCGCCGAGAGAAACATTGGAAGTCGAAGGTCCACAAAACATACAATAGCGAAATTCAGATTTGACGTCCACTACCGCTATACCATTAAGGGACCACCAATCAGATGCGTTTGATATATCCGATCAACCAATCAGATGCGTTTGATATATCCTATCAACCAATCAGATGCGTTTGATATATCCGATCAACCAATCAGATGTGTACTAAGCTAGTGAGAAGTAGTGGAAATTTCCCGATTGTTTGTTTCCCGAAAGCCCCGCCCAGTCAATAAATATTTTATGATTATGAGTATTCAGCTCACTCCCCGTAGGGGCTTTTCAGTGAACGATTACACCAAGTATTAAGGAGGATTTCCAGTCAGTGCAAAAAGTTCCGCGATCGACTTTTTGCGATCGCTTTCTTTTGAAATACAAACAGTCAAGCGGAACAATCAATTTCGGCCCAAATGTGGTAGCAATTTCCGCACGCAGTACAAAAGTATTCAAAATTTGCGAACTTTGCAAGGTTATATTTTCCGCATTTTGCTACCAAACTTTGCAATTTTACTCATTTTAGTATGTTCTTTCTAGCTGTGGTGATTTATTTGCATCTCTTTGCCTAGTTTTAAAATTAGTCTATAATGGGAATTGTCTATTATAATGTCTTTCAATAAACTATACGTGCAGCGGATAGTGGGTGACAAAATTACACTATCCCAATTCTATTTATTGGCCTCAAATGCAAGACTACTGCATATTTTATCACTCAGAAAAATACAGATTAACCACATCTGCTGTAGAATTCTTTGCTTGCACATGACATCACTACGAGTCATTAGGCGCCATCTTGGTTGATTTTAAAGTTTTGTCCAGCCGTTTACATCGAAATAGTTGAGTTACTTTAATATTTTTGGTTTGTTTTGAAAACATCTTACTGTATTATGGATAGTTTACGATTTCTGGCACAATACGACAAAGAATGAAGAATATAGATTTTTAGTTGCCACAAAAATCAACCAAGATGGCGTCAGTTGCAAACGAGCAATAGTGTTTAGTGAAACCCAGTTATCCTTATGGTATCAGACTAACACTAAAGGTATATACATTTTCTCACTCCAGAAAATTTTGAAAGTTGTGAAGAGTCGGACACTGGACAGACAAAAGATAGCGAACCAAAAAATTCTTCTAACCCAAGCTCAACTTCTTTAGACGATGAAGAATGTGGTAAGTGAGAAAATAACCTTTTCCTCCACCACCCTAATTTATGTCTAGAGTACCAAACATCTTGACTCAACCAAACTGGTTTCTGATATCTATATGATATGCGTATGCCAAGCAGCAGCCGAGCAATGAGTGTGGAGGCATTGACACATAATGAGGGTAGCTGAGTGTGATTGTTTTACCCTAATCTTAATTACTCCTTTTAATGAAGGAAATTAATATATAAAATGTAATTTCTACTATTAATGAACATTCTTAATAATAGAAAGAAAAGCTACTCCCTTTACCCATCAAACAAACTGGTTTCTGATATCGGTTCTAGAAGGGTGAGCTGGCTTTATCTGCGGTTGTGCACTATTCTATACACCTTTCAAAAATCCTCCTTTGTGTAAGATAGGTCGGTAGTCTAGTCTATATATATGTTGTGTTTTTGTAAAATATTGAAGGAATATGCTTTCTTTATGTTTTCATCTATATTTCATCTTCATTCCTCAGCAAACGAAGCGTTAGATGCTCTACTCCTGTTGGCAAGCTCTCCTGTGAGATCTGTGCCTCCGTCCTCAGGTACTTTGGAAACACCACAGAAATGTAACGCATCTGTCATGTTCAGCAGTCCTGTAGTACCTTCTACGAGTTCTGTCCCTGTGGTACTAAGCCCCGGAGGATTAAATCACTCGAAACGACCGTCACAGCCAATCATGTCGCATGTTAGGCAATTGAACTTCGTTGGCAATGGTAAAACTGTCGGTAATGGTAGTACTTCCCAGGGTACATATTCCGGGGATAATACCCCTGCGAGTACAATATTTGGAATTAAACCTTTGGAAAACAGCAACTCTAATGTTGAGTCTTCGAAAGTATCTGTTATACCCGATAGGGAGGAAATCTTTCAGAGCAATACTTTCGAGGGAGAAAGTTCCAAGATCAATACTTCTGAGGGTAAAATTTCGCAGGACAAAAGGTCCCAGAGTAAAAGTTCCGACAGCAAAAAATTCGAGGGCACATGCTCCGAGAGCAAAAGTTCCGAGGGTAAAAATTCGGAGGTAATTTCTGAAGGTCAAGTTCTTGAAGGAGATGATTTAAGTAGAGAAGATGTTATTTGTGTTAATAGCAAGCACCCATCGGCAGAGGGAACTTCGAAGAATGATCTAGACAAGACGAAAGAAAATACAGAAGTGAGCATTGTTGAAGAAAAGGGTGGAATTGGACTAGAAAAAGGGGTGGGGAATAACCCAGTTGTTCTTCAGAGTGGGCAAAAGAAATCTGAAGGAAATGGATGTGAAAAGGGTCGTGCAGCAAGGTACAAAGACACAGCTCGCTGTAGCGATGAAACAGACATAAGAGAAAATTTCGCACCAGACATTAATATGTCAGACACAGAAAGACGTTCTGAGAAAGAAAACACAACAAGTTTTAACGAATCTCCACTTAAATTGAGTGTACTAGAAGACTTGGCTACAAATGAATTACTTCAAAGTAAAACAGTTAAACCTGCAGAAACTAGGGTTACGAAAGGATCTTTGGTGAAAAATGTGGATGAAGAGGAATGTAATAGAACAATTGGTGTGATATTATGTGAACCAATGGAAGCTAAAGGCATTTCCACGGAACCTAACAATACTTCCACGGAGGTTTCCGAGGAGCTTACGTCATTAACCGAAGGACTTGTGTCCCATGTCGGAGGTTTTGCAAATATCATGACTCCCAAGAGCAACAAGACTTCTGGGAATGACTTGAGTTCATCTACAGAGTCTGATAAGGTATGTGTCTTTACAGTATCGCAATTTCTTCATGCCTTCCTTTGGCTAGTTTGGCTTTGTTCGTTTTAAATCACTCTGTTCTTCCGTTGAAGTAATTTCTTCAATTTCTTTCTGTTGTGCCGTAGTGCTAACTGAATATTTTACTTTTCATGTGTTGTAATTAGACATCAAAACGAAAATTGAAGAAGAAAAAAGTAAGACATATATTGTGAATTTTTTACACTGCCCACAAATAGTGGAAAGTGCTAAATGTGTTATATTCAAAATTGGTTTATACATTTTCTAAAATATTCTTTCTAAAGTAATCTCCTTGAACTCACGTTTGTTTTGTCTGTGTGTAGAAATCAACACGAACATCAAAGAAAGCAAAAATAATCCCAGAAGATCTTGACGTGGACAAGTTCTTATCAAGTTTACATTACGTACATGAAGGGAAAACGTGAGGGAAGACCTGATGTCAGCGCTTAACACTTGTTGTGTTAAATTAAAACTGTTACCGTAGATTTATATTGAATAGATGGGTTTCATTTGTGGTGTGAAACCTGTAGTTTTCAGAGTAAATACCAACCTAAAATGGTCGTAATCGATCCAATCTAAACAATAGTGATGAGCGATCACCCGTTCATATTGGTTGGTGGCGACACAGTTTTGTTTTTTTTAGTTTTGTTTTTTGCTTCTACTGTATAAGCGTCAAATTTTGCAGGGCTGCCAACCTTCATGCATTTTAATAAACGTGAAAGTCACGCATTTTCGAAAATTTTCGTGGTCACGCCCGCATAAGTAAAATCAATGCAAAAGTCACGTATTTTTTCCCATTTCTCCAAGGTGTAACGCAAGCTTTGTTTCTCAGTGATTACTGCCTAAATTGTGCATTTTCTCCGGACGATGAAATTGAAAGAGAAAATAGAAAGAAAAAAATAAATAAAAGGAAGGATGGAAAGAATGCGCACACCGGATGTAGCCTGGTATGCAATGCACGTGGTTTAGTGGTTTTCGTCCACTGAGCTATATATAGTTTTCGTCCCTCAAACAGCAACTTGTAAAATCCAATATGGCGAGTGCGGGAGGTGGTTACGGTCAGTCAGAAGACAACCCTGCTAGCCCCAAAACTGACTTAGCTTGCTTAGTTGTAAAAGATTTTACAGGCCAGTTTAATAATGATGCTTTAGAATTACACATTTCTATACAAAAAAGCATGAAATTAGATTTAAAAGTTAATGAAAAACAAGACGAAATTGGTTTCACTGCATTGCATTGGGCTGTATCATCCGGCAACGTCGAAGGGGCGAAAATTTTGGTGAAAAATGGGGGCAATGTTCATGTTAAAGATATACTTGGCTTTACTCCGTTGTTTTATTGTACCGGTCAAGCACCAAGTGTTGAAATGACCAGGTTTTTGGTGGAGGAATGTAAAGCCAATATCCAGGAGAAGAGTAACACTTGCGCCACATGTTTACATGGTGCTGCTGTCAAAGGTGAGACTGAGAATTGATGGTCTTTTGGTGGTGATGATGTGATCATGATAGCAATAGTAGTGGTGGTGATGGCAGTGGTGGTCATGGTGCCGATGGTAATGTGATGATGGTGGTGCTGATGGTAATATGCTATGTTGGCAGTAACGTAGCCAGCCCGACGATTTAGTCCCGCTATGCAAATATTTTCATATTTAATGACTGTGAAAACAATCAATTTCTAAAGAAATTAATAATGATAATAATTTAGAATTTGCAAAACAGGACTAAATTGTTGGCTGGCTATGCCACTGAGTAGTGTTTATGGTGCTTTCTGTTGTTGCAGTTGCTGTTTTGAACTTGGTTTACAATGTGGTTGTTTGTTAAATGCTGTGTAGTAATACTAGCAGTAACAAATGTATTAATTAGTACTTGTATATTAACTGCATTTCTAAGGAAACACAGAGATTGTGAAACTATTGTTGAAATATGGAGCAGATCCTCGAGCTCCAGACGAAGAAGGAACAACGCCATTTGATCTTGCAAGACCACATAAAGATGTCTTGGCTATACTACATAAAGCCAACTCCAAAGTTGATTCATCTAGGGATAAAGAGGGTGCACCTTGTGCAAACTGTGGTAAGTACTAGGTAAAACATAGGATCACATGTGCATGGTCATATGTTCACTTGAGAGGTACTAGTCTGGATTAGGGTACGTTTATCAATTATGGGTCAGGCACAGATTTTCAGGGGGGGGGATGCACCCCCAAAAATGCTTTGCACCCCCCCCCCCCAGAGGCGTTTGGCACCGCCCCAAAAAATTTTTGCACCCCCTCAAATTATACATATTTTGATTTGATATTTTTCTATTTGGTTATTCTTATTACTAAATTTGTAAAATTACTAGTATTATGGTCTCAGATGCTGCCATGCAGGCCTAGAAAACAAGTTTTGTTAAACATTTTCCTTGGCCTTTCTGGATGTTGCCACCAGGCCCTGGCCAAAGCAAGCAGCAGCACACCACACCC